GGGCCCCCCCCCCCCCCCCCAGACCAGGAAGCACTAGTTGCCAAGCCAGTGGGGAATGAGGGGGTCCCCCCACATGCTCCCTGGTGGACTCGGAAGTGGACCAGAAACACTTCTGGTCCACTTCCGGGTCTGCTGCCAAGCACGCTGAGGAGCCCCCCTACACTCCTGTGGGACACTCCATGCTCCCCAGCATTCATGAGGCCCTGCTACCTAGAGGTATACAGGAAAAACATTTAAAGCTGTGTCTATGTCCACATCTTTCTGAATAGATTCAGAGGGTTCCTATTCAATTCAGAGAGATTAAAGGGTCCTCCGACTGGATTCGGAGGTTCGGCCACTGAATCAAGCTAAATCTCCGCTGAGTCGAATCGCGGACCGAAGCTTTGCACAGCTTTAGTTGACATATCAGTTGCTACTCTGAAGAAAAGCATTTAGCCCTACCAGACTCTGGTACTAATGGCTATCAGAGGGGGTCCAAGTAGCCCATAGAACATTAACAATTAAGAAATGAGGTGGGAATAATAATCAGCAAAAAAAATTCAGACATCAGTGGAGAAAGCAACTGAAACCATTTGTATCTGGGGTTACTGCATATTCTTCTAGTGTTTAAATAGAGGCAAGATAACATGATACAACTGCTTTGTTCCCTGAAATGGTGTTTTAGTAAGTAATTTTGTATAATAAAAAGGAGCTGCACTCTAACAGCAATAAACTATTCCAGGCTATGAATCCCTATGTTATTGCTAAGCTCTTGCAACATCACCCTCGACTATAGCCACTTATGAACCCTTTGTCACAGTTTACTTTTGAACCCTTTGTCACAGTTTAGTGGAAAACTAAATCAATGCCTGGTGACTAGATTATTATTATTATTATTATTATTTTCCTGTTTCATGTAGGTTTATAACTTTAGCTGTAGAGTAAATGAAGAGCTCATCATGCCCTACGTATGGTATGCCCTAGGCATGGCCTATTGGAAAGTTTAGTTGCCACAGTCTGCAATTAAATTTAACCAGGAGGGCCTGTGTGACATGTTAGACAAGTCCAGTTCTACTCATGCCTGTCAGCCTTAGACAAATTGCAAAAATGAACCACAGCTCTCTCTTACATTTTGACTGTTTCTGTAGTTATTAATAAACAGTTTCATCTAGAGAAAGATGTCCTTTAAATACTATTAAGGGTTAATAATCTTTTGTGATAGCTGATCACCTACAAAGGCCATTCCAGTACAAGGAAATCTAGCATCTACCTGTATCATCAAATTACATTTTTCCACTGTGGTGTGGATTTGGTGTCTAGGCAGGTTGTATGTTTATAGCAGTAAATGTGTTTTGCCCATATACATGCCCACAGTTCAATAAGGGCTTGCACTACATTTATTTTATATCAAACAAACATCCTGTGAGTTCCCAAGAAATTAAGCATCCCAGATGATGAGTAGGAACAGATGCTATCTATTAGCAGTGATTTAAAATATCATGGCATTCAGGGGGTTTTAAGAGAACAGATATTGAAGGATTCATAAAACAAAAGCTGGCTATATTTGATGAGCTTCCCGCACATTTTTGTTTCCTGTTCAAGAGCCTCAATACAACTGACTTCAATAGATGCATCAATCCTCCTTGTGCCGCCATCCTATAGAGCAACTGCCTGCCAATGTTAAAATCCTTTCGGGAGTGACTTGTGATTTTTGACAGTGCAGCAGCAAAGTAGAAATCCCATTTCTACTTGTAGACTTTTTTCGTTTCATTATTGATTCTCTAGCACAGTGGTCTCCAAAGTGGGGTGCACGCACCCCAGCGGGTGCGCAAGACGATCCATTGGGGTGTGGGAAGAAAATATTAGAACTTCTATTTCTATTTAAATAAATATACATATACTGGGGGGTTGCTCAAAAATGTTTTACTGATGGGGGTGCGTGATCAAAAAAGTTTGGAGACCACTGCTCTAGCAGATGGGTCGAACTAAAATAAAAGTAACTGAAGCGATGCTGTAGACATTCTGATTTCCTTTGTGGGTTTTCGTCCCCCCACAGATGGCCAATGACAGTACGGAGACAAGTGAAGCTGGAGAAGAAGAGGAAGACCATGAAGGGGACAATGAGAATAAAGAGCGCATGCCATTCATCCAGTAAAAGCTGAGAGTGGCAGAGGGAAACCAGAAAGATTGATTGAGTAGAAGGGAACAAGACTGGGAAATCTATTCTGTGCATCAGTGAACAAATGCCATAGTACAGTGTGTGTTGTGTTTGTCTGCAGTCAGCTGAGCTATAAGCTGTTGATCATTGTTGTTTTGAATTCAAGTGCCATTCCCATCCAGTGCAGTATTATGACATTTGTTGTGTGACACCCAATCTCCCTGTAGGAGTCCCATTGATTTTTTTTTTTCTGTCCCTGTTGAAAAACCTTTATTAACGTACTGTGTAATTTTAGATGGGCAACGTGCTCATGAGAATCCTATTTCACGTAAATTCTTTGCAAGTTGACAATGATGATCTTTTTGTTGTTGTTGTTGTTACTTCCCTACTCTATTGTCTGGTAGATTCCGGTAATCAAAGGGAGGGTTTTAAGTTCGTCTGTTTTCAGCAAAAGACAGGTAAAACATGGTATTCCTTTGTGAGCCACAAATAAAGGTTGCAGAGACAAATTTTGTTCTCCTAAATCATGCAACTTCATCTCATAAACAATTCTGTCTTAATTTTTTTAAAAAAATACCTCATTTGTAATTCTAAATAATATATTGTAGAGTGTAAAAGAAAATATGCCAGAAGTCATTGCTTAAGAACCTTTGATTAGTATTATATAATCACATTAGCCATTGGCACTACTAATTAACAGGAATGAATGCATGGTGCCAACAGCCCAGGCTTAGTGTTGATCTCCCAAGACGATGTTCTCTTTTTCCGTATGCAAGGAAAAGTCAATGAGCCACTTCTTGAAACCCAGAACTTTTTAATCACACGATAATATTACTGTTTTTACTGGCGATTCAACAGCACCTCCTCCAAAGCATCATTGGGTTGGCTGTATCCAAAAGCTGAAGTAACAGTGCATTCTAAGTGCGGCTTAACCATAGGGCTCGCTCTTCCATCTATGGATAAGATATTATTTTGTCAGCCAAGTCACACTTTGGAAATCACTAATGGATTAACCAGCTGTGCAGTGGTGCTGAACTTCTATGAAGGTTAACCTTTCTGGAAGCAAAATCAAGGCTCCCATCAGCACTCATGCATGCAATTAACTCCCCACAGGTGCCTAGTCCCATAAAACATCTGCTTCTCTATGTAAAGACACTCCATGTGTAAATGTTTGCAAAATCAGGCCCTTAAAGACCATTTCATGTACCTACCTCCCAGTAGTGCAAACTGAATCAAAACATGACCAACAAATATCATTTATCTTCCATTTTACCCAACTAGCAGCTGCTCAGGTTCCCCCTGAGTCTTATTAAAAAAGAGTGTAACCACTCGCAATGGAAGCAGTAAAGGGGTATCAAAGACATCATACTCAGACATCTCCCTTCTGGATTTAATATATTTTTTGCAAAAGAAAATACTCCCCCAAAGGCCTAAAGCTAGCAGTGTTAGTTGGTGGAAGTAAAAAAAAAAAAAAAAAAAAGTTGGGGGGGGGGGGGGGGGATTTTCAGGCTTTTTTCAACCAGAAAGGAAT